AATGACCCGGAAAGAGGGGCAGCCAGGGATTATTAATATCAGAATGTGTGTGTGTTGGGGGGGGGGCTAAACTGGGGAGGGAGACGTTTTAAGTTACTAGGATTTATATATAAGTACAGGCTTACCTGAGGAAACCAGATAGTCAGGGAATCACGCAAACAATAAATCTAATTGCATCTAAAATTTCACGAAGTCTGATTTGAGAGAGAGAGAGAGAGAGAGAGAGAGAGAGAGAGAGAGAGAGAGAGAATGACAAAAGGCAGACTAACATTTTAGTTTTTTAAAAAAATAAACATGTAGATTTATAAATTAATTGTAAAGAACCAAGTGAAGAGATGGGGATACAAACTGACTACCTTTCCTTACAACTGGAATTAAAAAAAAATTGGGGTCCCTAGCCATCCTGATTTTTTCTCTTAGGAATATGTTTGCATTTTCTCTATATACATTTTTTTGCAGTCTGTATAAATCTAATAAAGAGAGTTACAATTCAAGCAGTGATACCCAGATAGTGGGTTTTGTTTTGTTTGTTCAAGATATGAATGATCAGGATTCCAAAGAGATGTGCAGAAGAAAGTGGTTTGTCTCCTTCCTTGGAGTATGAGCCAAAACAAATCAGCCCCTGATGGTCTAGGCCGAAACCCAGCTCACTGGATAATTGACTCCATCTTTCCAGTCCACCCTAACTGTTTATTTAGTGTCACCCCGAATTAGCATCACTGGCACTTTCCTCTGAACAGGAGGAGCTGCAGGCTTTCACCTCCCGAAAGGAAATTCTTCTAGCTTAGACACATGTGATTCTCAGGATGTACATTAGTTGAGAGAGAGGGAGGGAAAGTTGATTGAAAATCCAATGGAAGATAAGGACTCTCGGGGGTTTTCATTTTGTAAACTTGCTCCGATGTAATGTTTAAAGAGAGATAGACCATGTGTCTTACAGGCGTAAGGACTGATCGTGACTTCTCCCTTTCCAGAAAGGTGATAGCCACCTCATGCTGAATGGGATCTTCTGGTTCACACTTGACCATTGGTGTCCCTAGGCTGGGCTTCCTCGGTGTGCAGCTGAAGTAAAATAAGCAAAGTAGGGCCGGCGGGGCGGGGGGAGAAGAAAGGAAGGGGCTGGAAGAAAGGAAGAGGAGACCAAAGGGACAAAGCAAGAGGAGAGAGTGGCCGAAGGAGAGACAGTTCAGGTGCAAACAACATAAGCCACTTTTCTTTGAGTAGTAAAGAGAATGAGATCGAAGCACACCACAACACCTACCAAAGGCATGGGCCAAGCACCCCTGCTTTTTCCCCTCTGGGAGTTTTCAGTATGAGGAAGGGAGGGGACGGGATAGGGTTCTCAGATTGGTAGAGAACTTTGATGCGTTTCTTTGGAGGTATCCTATTTTATCTGCCTCTCTGTTTCTCGGGACGGTGAAGAGATGGAGGTGGCATTTTCGGGGCTGCACGCGGTGGACAGAGCACAGGGTTTCAGGCGTAGGACTCCAGCTGGTTCTGTTTGTCCAGGTGTGGGAGGGGGCGGCAGTCGGCTGACGTCCTGGGCCAGCCTAGCCTTTTCACACCACGGAAGCAGGAGCCTCTGTCCCCTTGCTTCCCTGCATCCAGGAGAAAGCCACTACAACCCCTACTTCCATACATAAATACATTAGGACTACAGACAAATCCTCATTGTTCAGAAATAAGCCGAGGAGGCCGGACGGCTCCCCTCAGCGAGGCAGAACGAGGCAAAGAGGAGGGGTGGGAGGGAGGGAGGGGGGGGCCGCGCGGATCCGGTGTCGCGTTGCAGATTCCCACTAAAGATAACGAAACGTGATCTATTTTTCAGAACAGCAAGTGGATGGGAAAGAACCTTGACAACACAAAACTCATTTACTAATGGACTGGTTTTGAGTTTCTCCTCTCTGGGTCCGCAAATCTCCCTTCCTGATCCCCTGGCCTATTCAGCCCTCGCAGGCAACGGCGCTCTGCACAGGGCAGGTGGGCGGCAGCTCCCGTGCTGTCGCCTAGGATCTAAACCGGGTTCCCAAGGACCCTGGGGATGAGCGGCTTCTGTCAAAGCAGAGGGAAAAGATGAATAATGTTGCCTCCGCTTGGATCTGCGTCTCCATACTGCCGCAGAAAGACGACACTAGTTTATTGAAGATGCCCTTGACTTCCAAATCTGTACGTAGGGTAGGAGCCCCAAGTCTTTCTTGATGGTAAAGGAACTCCAAGAAACCCGACTGTGAGCCTCAAGGCATCTTGCTTCAAGCCAGGAAAAAACAAGTAGGTCCTAGATACAGGGTTTTGATCCAAGGCCTATGTCAGCCCTTGTTTTCTCCTTGGCTTTTCGGTACACTGCTTAAGTATACCTGTCATTCATTACCTGCACGTCAAAGGCATTGGGCGCTGAAACCCGACTTCAGGAGCCTCTCTCCCAGCTTCAACCTACTAAGCACGAGTGGGCTAGAGTTGTTGGGTTTCCTTTAAATTCCTGCCGCATCTTTGGTTTTCATGCGATTTGCATTGACAGCAAAGGTTTTATATTACAGAACAACTCAAACCTTTCTGTGAGCGATTTAAAATGGATCATTTGGTTTATGTGGTTTGTAAATTCATGTCATTTTACCTCTTTTAGTGGTTTTCAGTGAAAGGTTCCATTTTGGGAAACCTTATATATCCAAGCCAATAATTATCATTTATAACAATTGGTTCCCTTAACCGAGGGATCCAAATAGCAGATAGGTTCCTTGGTACAAAGCACACAGCACTTCTCCTTTTTAGTTAAGTGATCTATTGGGTTAAATGCAGTAAGGGGGGAGGGGCAGGGGAATTCTGGCGGGTCCAGGCCCTCGGCCCCGCCTCTGAGAAAAAAAAATACTGTTCTCATTTACCTCGCTGCTAGTTATTATAGCACCTGTGCCGTTCCTCTTGCCACTTGTCACCAGTATCTGGTATAGTCCTGATTTCTTTTGAACAGGAGATGAAAAGAAGGGGGTTCTGGAAGATGCCGGGGAGATGGTGGTCGGTCATACACTGCTATCGCTTGCTCTCCTGTTATCCTCTGTAAATGTATTCCTGTACTTATCTGTGAGTTATGCCTCCCTTCACTGCAAAGACAGTTAATTACAAAGCATACATGGTACTCAACATATAGTTTGTTACATTTTAAGAGATGTGACTGTGTTTATAACCTTCTTCCCGTTTTAATTGTGCACACTAGTTACAGACTTTAGGGTACTGACTTTGAGAGCCCGTATAAGTCCCCATTCTGGTCCTCACACAGCTGCCGTGTCAATAAGCACTGTTCCAAGCAGAGACATTCCTTTTGGCAGGACACTGCAGTTCCCCAAGACTTCATCTGAAACGTCATAAGCACTAAAATAAGACAGGGAGGGAAAATTACCAGGCACACAGCCGTGGGCTCAGCAGTGCCAGGCTTCCAGTTTAGAAACTAAGTCATCGGGCATACCATGTGGCAGGAGCTCTTTTGAAATGATAAACACCATTAAATGCATTTTACATATATAAAAAAACCCAAGCCTAAATGTAATGATGTATCAACATCGGCTTCCAAGGTTTAATTGCATGGGGTAGACAGAGTTTCAAGGAAGCAGAAAGCACTGTGTGGGAGATCATGAGAACAGAGGTTTTCTGGTTACTTACTACTCTCGAGGGAAACAATCCCAAGATGGGAACCCTTTATGAGCTTGAAATGCATGTTGCAGGGTGCACTGGACTGGGTGCATTATTTTAAAACCATATAAATAATACAAAGGGAATCCCTGCTTTCACTTAGATCTCAAAACGCTAACCGTTCTTTGGCAGATGGAATCAAAGCACGGAAAGGAGACAAGTTTGAAGAGCCCAGTGTTTGCTCCCTGCCATTCCCTAAGAGGGCACAGTGAAATCAAAAGCATTTTTGAAGTGTACTTAAAATTCTGTTTTGAACTTATCTAATCAGAGATAAGTGTAGCCATAAAGTCACTCTCCTCCACCGTATGGCTTCCCTTATCTCCACACATTGTTCTTATCTGTTGCTGGTCTTAGCTACTGACAATAGATTATCTTTGTTTAGAGAGGCTAATTGTTTTCGAAATCTTTTTAATAATTGCTTTGGAACAAGGTGTGCAAATGAGGCTTAAGATAATTACAGCTTCATTTGTTTGTGCAGTTTTACTAAGCGTTCTCCCCACAGAAACAAAATAGCAGATGATGGGACTTACATTGCAGGACGCCTCTCATTGGCTGGCAGCAAAATAGGCCAGCATTGTCACACACACACACACACACACACACACACACACACTTTATTTAATCTTCTCGGAGCCACTGTGGTTCTAGCTTAGAGGGCAGTGTCCCTCTCAGAGCAGGGCAAAGATTATGTTACAGCCAGACAGTTATTGGAGCTGGGCACAGTTTTATTTAATTTACACCCCATTCAGCGCCTTTTGCATGAGGTTCCCCAAATTTTTTTGCTAATGGCAAGTAAAGCTTTTCAGCATCCATCGGTAGCAGAGGTTGCATTGAAGAACGCAACCGTACAAATGGAGAAACTGAGTCCAGAAGTCTATGGACCTCAAGAAACTAAATTGCAAATGAAGCCCTGGTGTCTCCATGCTACTGTGCCAGGGTCAACTCTTCTGATCGCTCTTCTAGGGGCACTTTGAGAATGAGAGGAATGTTGCCCAGATCAGAGTCCTTGAGCCCTTTGGGAGGTGTTGGGGGTTAGGAAGATAAAGGGTGTGGGGTGGGGGTCGGGGTGGGGGCTAGGTTTGGCTTCAGCCCCAGGATCAAACCTGGAAGAAGCCACTTTCTGAATGCCTGCAGCACAGAACTCTAGTTTTCTCTTGTATTATTTATCTCATTCCATAAGCTATTCATCAATCCATTATTTATTCATCTCAACATTAAGGTAATTAAATATGAGCTCACCGGGAAAAGCCAAGACTGCAAGAGACAGAGATAAGAGTATGGCGAAGAGGATCATTAGAACGTCTGCAGTCATTGATTTGTGATGAGATGCTGTGAGGCTCCCCTTAGGTGACACCAAAGAGGGCGCCGCTTCGTAAGGTCCTGACTGGTCACCACCCTTTTCAGCACCCTAGTTCCCTCCTCCCGACCCCACCTCAATTCCCACCTCTCCGAGTCCTTCTCCTCCCACCACTCCTTATCCTAGGGCTCCGCAGCTTCGCCCTCCCCACGCGGGGCGGCAGGGCGGCGGGGCTTTGCTGCCTGGCCGGGCGGCGCTCAGGCTGGCCAGCTTCGGATAGGCGCCGCTCGCAGCCAATCAGCGTGCCGGGGACGCTGCGCGCTTTAAGGCCGCTGCGGGGAGAACAGAAACCAAGTTCCCCGGCAACCGGCAGCATCCACCCGGCGGCAGGCGGGAGCCAGCGAGGCCCGGAAGGCTACAGAGTGCGCCAGCCACTCGGAATCTAGCGCGCCCCTACTTCTCTTCGTCTTCCTTCGCCTCCCACCCGCCAAAGGTCCGACTGGTCTCTGCGCCAACCCTAGGGAGGGGGTTAGGAGCAGCCGCGCCCCCCTCCCCGCGGCAGCCGCCCCCTGCTCTCCCAGCTCAGCTCACTGCCGCGTGCGCCCGGGCCCGTGCGCCCCGGCAGCGCCAGCCATGTCGATGCTGCCGTCGTTTGGCTTTACGCAAGAGCAAGTGGCGTGCGTGTGCGAGGTTCTGCAGCAAGGAGGGAACCTGGAACGCCTGGGCAGGTTCTTGTGGTCGTTGCCCGCCTGCGATCACCTGCACAAGAACGAGAGCGTGCTCAAGGCCAAGGCGGTGGTCGCCTTCCACCGCGGGAACTTCCGCGAGCTCTACAAGATCCTGGAGAGCCACCAGTTCTCGCCTCACAACCACCCTAAACTGCAGCAGCTGTGGCTGAAAGCGCACTACGTGGAGGCCGAGAAACTTCGCGGCCGACCCCTGGGTGCCGTGGGCAAATATAGAGTGCGCCGAAAATTCCCGTTGCCGCGCACCATCTGGGATGGCGAGGAGACCAGCTACTGCTTTAAGGAGAAGTCTCGGGGCGTGCTGCGGGAGTGGTACGCGCACAACCCCTACCCCTCGCCGCGGGAGAAGCGGGAGCTGGCCGAGGCCACCGGCCTCACCACCACCCAGGTCAGCAACTGGTTTAAGAACCGGAGGCAAAGAGACCGGGCCGCCGAGGCCAAGGAAAGGTACGCGGCGTGCTTGCCCAGGTTCGGGTGACCCCGAGAAGTCTCACTCTTCGCTCCCTTCTGCCTCCCGCAGGCGTCGCCACCGGCTTCCAACCCGCTGCCACCCGGCAGAGGTCGGTGGGGCGGCGCCCCGGCCTCGGCGACGCTGCAGTAAAAGTTCATGAACTCTTGAGTTTGCCTGCTAGGGACTGGGCCGCGTTTGCGTGGAGCACCCGCGCGTGGGGAAGAGTGTCGCGAATTGTCGGCGCTGGGATTGTTTCATGCCATCCTGGCTGGCTGCGGCGAAGAGAGGGGGTAGCCAAAGAATTTGTAGATCAGAGGAAAGGGGGTGGGTTGCTTGATATCGCGGGGGAAGCGGTTCGGTATGGCGGAGGGTCTCGAACCTCCGCCCTTTCGCTCCAGCTTGAAGCTGGTCTGAGTCGAACGCTTGGCCCCCTGTACCTCCTGGCTCTTTGCTCATTCTCTCTGCTTCATTCCGCGCTAGTTTGACAAAGGGAGGAGTCTTGTAAAAAGAAATACTCTGGAAAGGGAGCTCTGGGGGTGTCGCTGCTGGGTGTCCTATTAGAGGCCCCAAGCTGGGGAGAAGACTGCCGCCTGCAGCGCTCCCTGGTGCGTGGCCGGTTGCTTTCGCCGGCCCCGCCGCTGCCGCTGCGGGCGAGGAGAAGGGCTCCAGTCGCTGGCTTCCCCAGCCCGAGAGCTCGGAAGCAAAGCGAAAGAAAGAAAGAAAGAAAGAAAGAAAGAAAGAAAGAAAGAAAGAAAGAAAGAAAGAAAGAAAGAAAGAAAGAAAGAAAGAGGAAGGAAGGAAGGAAGGAAGGAAGGAAGGAAGGAAGGAAGGAAGGAAGGAAGGAAGGAAGGAAGGGGAAAAAAAGTCTCCCGCCCTCCCTCCCCTCCTCGCGCAGACGCGGCGGCTGCTCGGCCCGGGAGGTTTGCGGCGGAGCTTCTGGCGGAGGTTCGGAGGCGCGTGGGACCGATAGGCTGTGGAGCCGGGCGCAGAGCCCCGCTGTGCTCGCTTTTGTTCACTGGCAGCCTGGGGGCCGAAGATCTTGCTGCCAGGGTTCCCTCTGGGTGGGGAAACCACAGAGCCGGCCTAAATTCCGCGGAAAGGGGCTCTCCGAAAGAGAGAGAGAGAGAGACCGTGCTGGGAAGGGAGTGTGCAAACGGGCGAGCGCTAGGCGCGGGGTGGCCGCCAGCGCTGGAAACGAGGAAGAGCAAGCTGTCCTAAAGTTGACTGGGACCGGGTACGGGGACTGACACTCGGCCGTGCGGGATCTGCCAGCGCCCAGCCGGGGCGGGGCAGCGAAGTTTGCCTGGCTGAGAAGGGTGGGAGGCTCTGGATTGTGGGCGAGCAGCTCCAGAAGAGAGCAGGAGGGGCAGAGGAATGAACTAGGAGCAATGAAACAGAGGTTGCACGATTCCAGCTACCCTTTAGTTTACAAAACGGCTGGTCCCTGAAGCCAAGCGAGGGCCCACTCCCGGGTGAAATCCGAGAGACTGACTAAGCTCCCTGTGTTTACTCAGGTCACTGGGCCGCTCTGGGCACGACTTCCCATGACCTGTCCTAGGTCTCTGGAACCCCAGTCTCCGAATAGGGGCAGGGAAACTGATCATCTAATTGTTTCCTCAGATGGAGGCAGGCAATTGACTTGGGTCACGGCAAGCATTTGTGCGTTGAGCAGTTTGTCTCCTGAACATTTCTTTATCGCAACAACCATTTGTCGCAAGGCTTCCAAACAGTTACTTGGAAGTATGGGGCTGGTTAATAGGTACTTAAACGTAGCTGCTTGAACAAAATTGAAAACACATTTTTTTTTTTGCTTATTTTAAATAAACCTGGCTTATCCGACTGTGAGAAGTACAGAAGAGAAGGAAGCTATCTCCAGGGAGCAGGCCCCCCATTTCTTTAGGCCGCCTCTTCACCTCCCCCATGACCCTTGGGGCTGGGTGGGAGGCAGAGCTCCTCCGTTTGGGTTGATGACAGATTGCACAACGGCCCTTTCCTCCTTCCAGCCCCCCCCCTTCCTTCATCTCACACTTAAAAAAAAAAAAAAAAAAAACTTCTTTTTAACCATATGGCGTTGTCCTCTATTTCTCAGGGAGAACACCGAAAACAATAACTCCTCCTCCAACAAGCAGAATCAACTCTCTCCTCTGGAAGGGGGCAAGCCGCTCATGTCCAGCTCAGAAGAGGAATTCTCACCTCCCCAGAGTCCAGACCAGAACTCGGTCCTTCTGCTCCAGAGCAATATGGGCCACGCCAGGAGCTCAAACTATTCTCTTCCAGGCCTAACAGCCTCACAGCCCAGCCACGGCCTGCAGGCTCATCAGCATCAGCTCCAGGACTCTCTACTGGGCCCACTCACCTCCAGTCTGGTGGACTTGGGTTCCTAAGTGGAGAGATACTGGGGCCTTGAAGGGATGACCGGAGCAGCAACCACCCGCAGCATCTAGGGACACTTGTACATAGAAGCCAGGGACAACTCTGCAGCTTGTTTCTGAGGTTCTTTAGGTAGAGAGGAACCACAGGCTTTCACAATTGTCTTTTTAAAAATTACAACCAACAGCGATCTCAGTTGAGCATACTCTTGTTCTTCTCTCCAGATTCTTAATACCCTTGCATTTCCCCTCCCACTAAAAGGTCAGGAAACAACAAAACCACCTAGGCTTTGTTCTGGGCAACCCAGGCATCCCTTCTTCCATCTCTTCCTCCTCTTCTTCCTCTCCTTCCTCCTTCTCTTCGTCTTCTTTTTATGAACAGAAATTACAAATCAACTGGATTTTAATTATATTCTTTAATTTATTTATGGAGAAACAGCTTAGGGAAGAGGAACAGGAAATGAAGAGAAAGAGAGACAGAGATAGAGATATCAAAATAATGAAAACAAGAAACCTCAGTCTGAGGGGAACTGGCTGCCTTCTTAAGATGAATAGGAAAACTATAATCACAGCTGTTTTTTTGATGGGAAGATTAAGTTTACATTTTTCATATTTAGTGTTAAATAATTTTGTGTAGATTAAAATAAAAGAGCAGTATTAGTGAGGGAAGCAAGTGCCTAAATGTCTTAATGTCCTCTCTGGGAGGCAGTTAGAATAGCAGCCGTGTTAGTGACACAACTATTGTTGTCAATTTTAATGGGGGTTTTGGTGAATGTTTTCTTATTTTTTTTTAACTTTTATGACAAACTCTAAACATGTACCAACGAGGGAGGAGAAAAACCCGATTTCCTAAATGTCATCACTTCTTCCTTAGAGGCTTTCCAGTCTGTAGGCTGCCTCTGTCCAGAGGGCTCTGCTCCTCCTAGTTTCTACTTGCAAGGGGGTGCCAACCAATCTGGCAGCCTGGTATTTGTTACTAGAAGAGCGTGTGTTTTTAGGCTTCATTTTTATTGTATCTAAACCAGTCTACATTAAAATTCAGTAGACCAGCAGGAGTTCAATTCTGTTTCTGAAAGGTGAGTTGTGTACTGCTGTCACCGGGCCTATTGGAAAAACAAGTTTTCTTGCTTTCTTAGTAGTAGTCATGAATTGCAGGGTATTTTTGAATTCTATCACCCAAAACCAAGAGGATAGTGGCTGGGTTAACAATATGATGAAAGAAAAGAGATTCAGCCTTGGATATTTATTTATTTTTTGTTATTTAGAAATGCAGTTTTGTTTACCACTGTTTCTTCTCCACAGCCTTCATATGTTAGCTTGGCTCTCCTGTGTTAGCAACTTATGAAAAGACTGTGAAAGTAAACGTAATTTATCTGTTTTTTTTATTTTAAAGGGAACTCGAACAAGAATTTAAAATTATGAATTGATTTGTACAAATTAAAAAAAAGCAGGCCATCGGAAGCTCCTTTGTCAGATAGTGTCCAGAAAAATCCCAGTAATCATGAAGGCTCCATGTTCTTTTTGCCTGGGGCAAAATGATGTATCTTATGTATTTAGCTTTTAAGACTAGTGAAACAAATGGCATTATTTATTAAAATTCTACTCAGGATAACAGGATTGGCTTGCTGCTCGTGCTTTGTAAAATATTGTTCCCCAGGGAGAGTTTATTTATTTTTCTGACATGACAGTTTCATAATTTTGATTTTTCCTCATTTGTAAGTGTCAATATTAATATATTTCTTTCTTATCTTTCCATATTGTTTTTGACCTGAAGTGTGTGTGTGTGTGTGTGTGTGTGAAATTAAGGCTCCCCTATAATGAGGTTTTTTTTTTTTATTGTTGGATTGTTTTGAGTTCAAAAGAGAATGGTCACTGTGCTTTTAAATATAGTCACTTTTACTTATAAAGTCATTTTCCCTTGGTGATGGACAGATGTGCACACAGAGACCATCATTTGGGCTGGGAGCTCCGGGTCCCATTCTCCCTTGTTAGTGTTTTGGATCATTAAGTCGGTGTTTATTTAAGTCACTAGGGTGTTTATTCTCCACGTCTTGGGCCACGGAGAAATGCCACCCTCTGCAGGAGGGGCTCTCACAGGGAATCTCCACACATTCTTCACATTCACTCCCCAAAACAAACACCCGGCACAAAGATAGCTTTCAGTGACCCTGACAGGCTTCAAAAGAGACCGCGGAAATCTCTCTGGAAAATAAGGAAGGGCCAATTACTTTAATTTCTTGCATGCCCTCGCTTCCTACTCTGACTACCCCCCACTCTTGCAGCTTCTCTTGGCATAATTTTAGAGTCATGGAAGTTCTGTCTCCCAGGGCGCTCCGGTCCACTTCCTGCTCGCTTGGTTGGTAGATCTTGGAAAAGTCTGCAGGTCTGGCTAGCAGCTAAGACGGCCGGTCCCGTAAAAGCCCCCGTGATTACTGCTTGTAAACTCGTTAAAAGGACAGTTTTCTGTCATAGCCATAAACTCTTTGTAAAATCCCTGGCACCCGATCCAGAATGTGCATATTCCAGATGTGTTTAATAAGAAATTGCAGTCTGTCTCTCTCGGCCATTCTCCGCTCAGTCTGGCTAAGACCGAGACAAGCGGGAGGAGGCGAGAAAGCTGGATATTGCTCTTAGTTTTCTTGGCAATCATTTTTAGAGCGATCATTAGGGGGGGAACTAATCATATTTGTTTTCCCTCGAGGAAATCTTCGAGAACCAGCTGTTGAGGGGCCAATTTACCTTCTCGGAGTCAAAGTTTAACTGAATTTAGAGCCACTTTTCGTTTCTCCTCCACAATTTCATAGCAATAGCCAAAAATAATGAGCAGGCTCTTAAAAATAAAGTGGTTTTAGGATGAAACGTCACAGAATTTGCCAAGTGAGAAAAAAAAGCAACAAAAACAAAACAAAACCCTCACCAAATCGAGTGATGTTTTCTAAAATGTCTTTAATCTTAATATAAGGTCACGGGGATCCGGCTTTCTTATCGCTGTGACCCCCTGGCTGAGAAAGAAGCTTCCTAAGTATTTGGAGGCCAAGGGGTTTGGCCAGCAGTTCCTGAGTCTTTGGCTTAGCAGATAATTGGGATTCAAGAACTTGGATTCAAGACCTCTGGAGCTGGTAGCAGGAGGTATTAAACTTATTTTCTAGGCAAGGACAGCCTAATCTTCATCTGGAGATGGGGTGGAAGCGCCCAGTGGAACCGTGCTAACGGGCTAGCTCCAAGGGCCAGGCACCCCTGCGCAGCGGCCCTCCAGTTCTGCAATGTCCGCTTGCAGAGGCCGCCTTCATAGAGGCCTCCCACGTCTGAAGTTTCGCTTGGCCCACGGGCAGGACTCCAGACCCAGGATCCAGAGGCTTCTTCTGCTTCAGAGAACTCGGGGGTTTGGGGGGGGGGGGCGTCTGTTATCTGCCTGCTCAGGAGGCAGTAGGTGCCACTCTGCATTGAGGAGGCAAGAGCAGTCCTGGAGCACTGAGACCACAAGGACAGTCTCTGCTCTCTGTGACTTCCAAAGACAACAGCACCTGTCTCAGAACCCGGATCCTAAGGCAGCTCCAGGCGCAGGGACTTGATGGACTCCTGCGATGTCCCCGAGAGCAGAGGAGACCAGGCTGGCCTCAAGGGAAAAGAGGAGGCCTTGGGCTGGGCCTCGTGGGACAATGCAGCTGTCGTCCTGGGCGTCCTGGGACATCTCCCAGACTCAAGGCTCGGCCTCCCTGATGAGTTCCTAACGCACGTGAGTGGCATAGGACGCTCTGCCGCGGGATGACACTCGGTCCTAAGTGGAGTAGATCCCCTGGCTGCAAGAGGTTCCCAGAGCAAGTGTCAGCGTCCCCGGGCTTCTACACCACGCCCTCGACAGTCCGCTCTCGGGTTCACGCAGCCTAGGTCCTGCGGCCGGATCCCCCGCGGCCCTTTCCACTAACTAGACTGGAGCCTTGGCTTCCGCTCTGTGACTTAAACGCCTTACCGAGCGCTGGCCAGGCAGTGCCTATCAGGGAGCTGGCTTATTTAGGAGTTAGTCGCCATCTCTGCAGGCTGGCGAGAGGTACCCTGGCTTCTTAAGTATTTCTTTTAGGGCAGAGTCGTCGCTTTGTTTCCTCAGTGTGTGCGGGTGGCTCCGGGAGGCAGCTCCCTCCTCCCTATGTCCAGTCCGGGATTGAGCTGAAAGACACCACCAGTCCAGGGGCGCAGCATTCCTGGTTCTGGCGGCTGAACTACACAATCTAGCCAGATTTTATAGAAGTGGGTGGTATTGACAGGCACAGGTGGGGTGTTTCTTTTCCAAAGCCTTCTCCCAGAAGGCTCTAAAACCTCCAAGACCACCCCCTCCAGCGGTCCAAAGCCAGAGGAACTAGCATTGGTGGCCACTATGTCTCAGGAGCATTTGGCACTGAGGGTACCAGTGGACTTAGTTTCATAGGCTGCCGGTGTGCTGGATTACTTTAGCCACTAAAGAGGGAACTTCTGAGCACCCTAGGCTCTGCTCAGACTAGGTCCACAAACTCTACCTGGAAACGTCTCTAAGAGGGATGGGTTAGAAAAACTACGGGTGGACCAGGCAGGGACAACAACTATCAAAATTATGTCTGAAATGTTGGCTATCCTACTATCCAGGAAACAAAACAAAACAAAGCAAAACAAAACGAAAACCCCGCTGCCCTGGAAAGCTCTCATTTTATTTTTGCGTGTGTGTGTGTGTGTGTGTGTGTGTGTGTGCGCGCGCACACACACACACACACACACACACACACAACTTCGTTCCAGCTGATGAAATTGGAAACCTGTTCTCCTACTGAGGATGACAATCAGGGTTTTAGATGCAGTATTCCTTTCAGACAGGGAGAAACAACACTGCAGTAGCATTTAAAAACAAAGAAAAAGAGACTGCTAGGGGCGCGTGGAAAGCCTCCTGTTCTCCAATCCGGGCCTCAGATCTTCTCCTTTTAACTTGTTAATGGATGGCCCAGACTGGGATTCTCAGCAAGTAGAGTACAACCCCACACTGCTTCTAGAAAAGTACTCACTATTCTCCTTTACCAGAAAGCGAAAATACACTCCAGGACCAAACAGAACAATGTAGGAAAGAAACGAAAACCAAAAGCCAAACGTCAACACCACATCTTATTGAAAAGGAGAAATAGGTTAGTTTTAGATTTTACACATTCTTCAGTGTGCCTGAAGTAGCCACTCAATTGTAATTAAAATATCCCTGAAAGAGACTGAGACGCTTTCTTTTCCCTTATTGTTAGCGATTGCGTTTGAAAGAAAAATAGATTCTGTTCTGTACCTTTACTTTGTACAACACACTCTAAAAATGTACATCCCCTGCGTCCTTCTGGCCCCCTTTCTACCCTTCCCTCAGAGTTAAAAGATAAACACAATTATGAGGCAGTCACAGGTAGACTCCAACAGGAACACGGAGGACTGACAGCCAAATCTACTTTAATATGCCATATAAATTAGTTTAATTTGGAACTTTAAATGGATTATGACTTTTAAAATGCCGTGACTCATTCATAATAGGAACAACTTTTGAGGGGGAGGCGGGGAATTGGTGATGACTTCAGGATCTGAGCTGCTGTGCATGTGGAATTTAAATAAGAGTCCCAGACTACACACTTTCACCGACACTTCAAGTGTCTCAAGATTCATAAAGAATACATCTCACGGAGAGCGTCAACATCCTTGATAATCTACAGACCCCAGGTAGCATATCTGTGAAGTTGACTTTTTTGGGTGTACTTCTATTGACGTTAAGTATTTTTACAAACCCCAGTGTCCTCCCACCATCTCCACACACAGTTTTCCCCCTTTGCCCTCAGGCAAGGCTTTACCTGCTTTGGTAAAGTTTCCCATTTGACTCTGGAATCATCTACGTGGTTTAAATACCAGGAGAAGACAATGGGGTTGTGACCCCGTCTCACCCAAGAACAAAACAAAACAACCCAACATAAGTATGACATCTTTGGTTGGCTCTCACACAAATATTATGTTACTGTAAGCATCTGTATGTGGTAATGTTCCCCTTGGCTTGCGCTGCTTCTTGTGTGTGTGGTAGTGGTGGGGACTGGTATGGGGTAGAGGGGAACAGAAGCTTACAGTGTTGGTAGAGAGCACTCATTTTGACAGTGGGCTGGCATCCTCTGAGATATTTTGTTTGCAGAGTTAATTGTACCTCTAAGAGGTGAGCCTAGTTAGCAGGAGGAAGACAAGGCTAGTGCTGAAGTTATTTAGAAAGGTGGAAGTAGGTACTCATTCTTTAAGAGGCACACTTTAATGTCTATGGGGTGAAAGAAGCATTGAAACAATCGAACCCTTGTCTGCTCTCAGATATGAGTGGTGAATATCTTCTGTGCATTGCTGATGCAATATAAACATGACACACTTCCCCTAAAGTCAAGGGCTTTTAAAAAAATTTTAATTGAAGAATAATATTGCTCAGGGCACTAAGTACAAATCACTAACCTAAAAAAATCAGTTCTGGGAATCTGGAACCAATGGCTATTTCAAAATAAACAGACAAAATCTTCATTTAAAAAAAAAAGGCCAGGAGGATCATTTTACATGCAGTATATCTCCTTGTTTCCCACACAAAAAAAGGAACCAACAGAAAGAATGGTAATAACAGGCTCCTTACCATATTTCTACTTTAAAAAAGAAAAAAAAATCCCAGTCTGTTTTAAAGTTCCTAATCTGTTCCTCTTCCAATGTTAGTATATCTTAGCAACAAAGCTGAATGCATTTCTATTTT